AACACAAACAAACAAGATGTATACGCAGACAGACAATTCTTGTTTCTTTTTTTAAATACAGTATGAGAAAATAAAAAAGTGGCCCAATGTGAACCATTTTTCCTAGCGTTCGTACTTGGGCCAACACATACGGATGCACTAAATTTCATCAATATATCTCGAAAATTAATTTGTAACGCAAAAAACAAAAATGGGCGGACGAACGAGCGGTCAGACGCTTCGGTGGTTCTATCTCCAGTTTTGTTTCTTATTGCGTATATCCCCTTAGTATGCTCTTGTGCCATCAGTGACCGATGGTATAAAAAGGATTTTCAAAAAAGAAGAAATAACTACAGACAGACAGAAAAATTTGGATAAATGCAAAACTTCCACAAAGCACAAATTTCATAATGAAACTTAGTGCTGATCAGACGTGCGGTGATGGCGACGATAAGAAATGGCCTTACATTCTTGTGAATCCGAGCCTGGTGCCTCTGAGCACAACCTAGCACCAGGATCTGGGCAAAAGCCCTCACTATACGTTTGACATAAAGGCCCAGTCAGAAATAGATGTTTCACCTATCTCTCGTCGTCCGTCTAGTCCTTTACTTCATTCCAATTCTTCACCTAACTTAGCCTTAGCCTCCCCCTCCTGAGACGAAGAACCTGTGATGCCAAAACGAGGGACGACATTGGCTACTTCCCACCCCTTCATTTCAGCCTTCATGTTTATGTGCATTCCAAATTTGAAACCGGCCAAAAATTTTTTAAGCTTGTTTCTGCGAGTTGGAAAGGTGTTGAAGGAACAATTAAACAATGATACATTATAATATTGGATAAGCTTGGTCAATGTTTTCCAATTTTGTGCACGAATGCTACTGCATAGAACAAAATATGCATTCAAATTTTTGTACATTTGTTTGCTATAGTTTATGAGTAATGAGCAAATTACACAGACGGACACGCTTGAAAAATACTATCAGAAAGCAGAAGCAGAAAGAATACTATCCAAATATAATTTTAATAAATTTATGCATTTTGCATTTAGGCATTTTGAACTTAGTGGTATATACCTGAAAATATTAGTTTGAGGAAAAAGAAATCCATTATTTTTATATGAACTTCAGAACTTTATTTAACATGCTCCGGATTGTCCGATTTGGGTCAAATATGCACCGTTTTGTTGTACAATTTGTTGCCATTTTAAAGGTAACTTCAAAATGCCTCTCTCATAGAAGTCCTGGTCTCTATTTGCAAAAAACTCTAGTAGTCGATTTTCACAATCCTCCCTAGATTCCAATTTTTTATTATTAAAGAAATTTTGCAATGCAAGAAAAAGATGATAATCGCTTGGTGCCAAGTCCGGACTGTATGGCGGATGCATTAAAACTTCCCAACCAAGCTCCCGAAGTTTCTGGCGAGTCACTGTAGATGTGTGTGGCCTAGCGTTGTCCTGGTGGAACACGACACCTCTCCTGTTGGCCAATTCTGGCCGTTTCTGGTCAATCGCTATCTTCAAACGGTCCAGTTGTTGACAGTAGTCAACTTCGATCATTTCTCCGATTTTATCGACATTTTCGACGACCGGCCTACCTGTGCGAGGTGCATCTTTAACATCAAAAATTCCTGAACGGAATCTACGAAACCAAAATTGCACATAATTGGCTGTTATTGGCAAAGAAAAACTGTAATATGTACCGAATTTTCTCTTTGTTCACTTCCATTTTTAACACGCTGTAACTCACAACTGAATGCACCAAACAAAAAACAGCAAAAGAATTTTTTTTACTGCGAAATGTCACCTTTCCAACGAGCATAAATCTGAAATTGTTTGATCGATATTTTACGAGAAATCTATCAGTGCAGCCATCTACCGAAAAAATAATGGATTTTTTTTCCCCAAACTAATAATTACCACATCCTTCTTCCTCCTGATGTGCCAGTTCTTCCTTTAGTCCGTCTTCACCACCCAAAAAATTACAGATGTCTCTGGGGTTTCACAAAAGTAGTATGTAAAGTCTTAGCTCTGCTTTCGCGTTCAGCACACGGTTTGAGACTCAATGCCCCATGGATTCTTAGTAAACAAATACCTGATAGAGACGTCATATGAACGTTTCTGCCCCTCTGCAAAGAGAGCAGAGATGAACCATTGCCTTTCAGCTCCACACGAAGTAAGCAAATAAACTCTTGCTATGATTTATACCACCCAAAGCCATCGCGTAATTTCCATAATGTTAGGTTTAAACTTTTTCTTATACGGAGAGTTTTGTGAAAAAAATTGTACTTAACCGCGCGTTGCAGACGTTCTGTAATCCTATATCGCAAGTTATACTAACTTTATCCTTGATGTTCCTAACGGAAAACGTAAAATCCATTTGCGTGAATTGTCGTACTTTTCATTTCGAAGGAAAAACAGCAGGAATAATGACATACTTATTGAAATTCAGGACGAACATGTTCCGTCACAAGACACAGAAATGTTCAGAAATGCAAACTTATTGAGACGACATTCAAACTCATAGTCAAGTTGTGGTTCACTTCAGTTCCACTCAACATTCATTGGAAGATCCAAAATCCACAGATTGTTGGGGTCGAGACGATATTCCAACTCAAGGCCAACTTACAGATCAACTCAATTTCACAAGGCAAGTATGAGAACAATTGAACCGAGTTGAAAAAGCAACATAAACCGCGTGGGAAATGATACAAGAAACCAAAAGATCAAGATCTAAATTATATATCAAGTCACCGAATTACTCCATTGAATGAAAGCTGCAATGTCAACTTATTTTGATATGCACAAGCATAAAAAAATCGTAGATGGATTAATCCAATGATAATCGCCCATACCTACTGGAAAGCTGAATCGATTTCGAAAGAAACCACTGAATGCGTTTGTTACGTCAATAGCATTTCGCCGGAAACTTTTACCATACCCGCCGTATTTATGTGCTGCGGCTTTATCTGATTGAAACCTGCTTTTGTCGCCCTCTGTGCCCTGGAAGACAATTTGAAGACTTTTTATTAGAAGAAAAATCGGTCAACGGATTTGTTGCAGCTTTTAAGAGGAATGGTGCTTACAAACTGAAAAAAAGAAAGAACTAGCAACTGGCGATTGACCAATACTTTCAATAAAACGCATTTCATATTTGTACATGTGGTAAAATTGATGGAATGCTAATTGAAATGTATGAATATGTGATGATAAATGCTTTCAAAAAACAAGCAGCTTGGTAAGGTTAAAAAAAAAACAAATAAGAAAACTAAATCCGGTCGGGACTATATCTTTTATACCCATCACCGTCTAGCCCGAAAAAAGACAAAAGAAGAAAGAGAACAAAATTCTCATAATTTACAATACGGAGTGGGCGTAGTTGATTTCTTTTATTTTCAAAACAAAAGCTTTTGTCGCAGAAGTATGTACGCGTTGAAGGCGCATTCTTTGAAAAGTTTAGGTCAATTCCAAATTCTTTTGCAAACTTGTAGGCGACATCTTCACTTTCGCTAACGAGGAAATGTTTACAACAAATGCTACAAAGTTACGCAAACACACAGATGGACAGACGAACGGACGGACATGTTTAGATGCATTCAAGATTTGAAACTGGCCAAGAATTTATATATAGTTTATGTGGATTTTGAAGATTGTTTCTGCGCGTTATAAGGGTATTTAAAATATTGTTATGAAATTCGCTTTTACTTTGGATACAGTCCGTATCGCTAGATCGTGGATATTTCGATCAAGAGAAATACACTTCAAAATTCTTTTATTTTACTACTTTGTCTTTCACAACAGTAGGAGTATTTATTTACAATTATATTTTTTAACAGTAGAATTTTCACAATTTAATTTGGCCGTACTCTCAGCTCAAATGCTCTTGCCCGACTAGCTCTACTTTTCACAAATATTCTATTTATATACAATTTTACAAGCATCTTACTGCTAACTCGACGACGAGTTTCTAAGAGATGGTGGAGGGGTTGACTGGAAGATGAGCTCTTCACTCAATAGCTGGTTACTACCGAGGAAATATATGAATGAATGGTTTTTAAGTATGTTGAAGGCAGAAATCTAGCGAGTGCATGGTAGATCACTCTGCCATGTCAGTGCAATACCCGAGACCTATATATCTCGAAGAAAAGTAGTTCATGGTGTTGGCAACCAAGGAAGTGTGGTGAATCCGAAGCAAGTACGATTGTTTTTAACATCGGCCCAAAGTATACCAAAGGCTTTGTAAAACAAACTAGGAGCCACGGGGGTCAGGAGGCTTGCCTCACAAAGCCACGTATGCCCTCGGGTGTATGATGGACTTTGTTCATAAAGTCGTAATGAAATAAATTTTTTTCTATAGAATAATAATAATAGAAAAAGGAATTGACGGACGGCCTTCCCTTTGGCCGATTATTAAAAAACCCTCTCAAGAATTAATTAATTAATACATGAAAAAAGGGATTTGCCTGAAAGGCTTTTTCCCCCTTTGCCTATTTTTACTTCTGAACATATGTCACGGATGTCTGCGGGTAATGGTGGTAATTGATCAACAGCGCCGTGGAAGCCTTATGGCGGAAGCGAGCGTTGATCAATTTGTGAGTCCTGACTGCTTGGGTGCGGCCCTTCGGGGAGTACTCGTGGTGGCTGTGGTTGGCAAGTTCCTAGCCAAACTGGAACAGTCGAGTGCAGCTAGGCCTCACCACTGACCAGAGTGGGGTTTATTGTTCCATACACAATAAACTGTTCTGGACTCTGGTGTTGTTTAGGCCCCTACTCTGTGGGGATTGTCTAACTAGCCAGGGGGCATAGTACGCTTAAAGTCGCTTGGGCCACCGTGGGGTTAAGCCTTTCAGGCAGGAACCCACGATAAACCCTTGCTACAAATTCTATACCTAAATTTATGGTTTTATTTGTAATCCCAGCCTGGTTTTCCCTCTAATCGTTTCCATCGGCCTGCACCTGCATGACGCGCCTGCGAATGTGCACTTAGCTTTTGCGTGCTTTTCCTCTAATCGTTTCCATCGGCCTGCACCTGCCTGACGCGCCTGCGAATGTGCACTTAACTTTTACGTGCTTTTCCGCTAATCGTTTTCATCGACCTGCTGCTGCATGAGACGCCTGCGAATGTTCATTTGATTTTTCCTTCTTTAGGGAATTTATTATTACAAAAATTACTTAGCTGGCATTTACTGAATTTGGGATTTTCGTAACAATATAATTAAACCTTGATACACTATAACGTCGCGTAGGCGAAGTTTTTGTGCACAAATGCTACAGAATATGGGCTCAACTTTTTGTACAGTTATTCGTTGTAGTTTATGGGTAATGAGCAAAAAACCTATTTTTCATTCCCTTAAAAAAATAGAGGCGTTCTCAGTTTGCACGATGCTGTGATTGTGTCCGTCGCTTCAGCCCGTCTGACGGACAAACGGCCAGACGAACAGACGGAGAGGTGGACATGCTTAAATCGATTTAGAATTTGATACTGATTAAGAATATATATACTTTCTGGGGTCTCTGATGCTTCCTTCTGAGTGTTCCAAACGTTTTGGTAATATGAATATACCTAAATCTGTCGATGGTGGATATAAAAATAAAACTATTTTTGTTGAGATTACATTTCATAAATCAAAAATTCATTTGAATAGAAAAGAAACTTAGAATAATTCATGTAAAAGAAGATCCAATAAAAAAATAATTTTACTTCAAAGCAATTGAAAACAGACATATGGAGTGTACATAAAATTCAAAAAGTAGTAGGTTATATAAATAGAGTATTTCAATTGTATATTATTTACACAAAAAAGGTAAAGCAGTTTTTTAATGAACATTTACTAATTGACGTTGATATAATGCGGTACACACATAAATAAAATATAATAAATGCAAATACAGTTCAAAAAGTATACTAGGTTGTAGAAATACGCACATTGTTTATATAAAAATTAAGGTCTTTTTGCATGAAGCTTTATAAAAGGTCAAAAAGTTAATCTACTTGCCTGCATATTGGCTACATAAAAACTTAAAAACATTTTTTATCGAAATCTTAGTAATTAGCTAATTTAGTGTGTATAAAGGGATTTAAAAACAAGGAATTGCAACGAATTGCAAATTGTTCGTTACAGTAATAAGCTTTGTGCTTGTATATCGTCTATATAAAAAATAAAACCTTTTTTCATTAAAATCTTAGAAATTTCCTAACATGGTGTACATAAAAGGATAAAAAAAACAAACAAAAGATATTTTATGATAATACAGTTCAAAAAGTATATCGAATTAAGTAAATAAACCATGTTATTGCCTACGTAAAAAATAAAGTCCTTTTGTCATTAAAGTTTTAATAATTGGCTGACACAATCTACACAACTGCTGTGAGTTAGAATCGATTCGTCAAACTCTTCTAATTTTCTTATATGCTGAGAGTGTATTTTTGAACTATCATTTTTATAGGAAACACCGCAAATAAATTTTTTTATTATGTATGATATCCAAAATACATTTGTCTTTGGCTCAAATTTTTCCCATTGATCGCTAAGATGGCAAAAATATTAATTCAACCATTAGAATATAGCAATAAAAAAAAAATTTAACTTACTTCAAGATTTTGCGCATCATGCGGTATATATCGAACTGATAGTCACCTGTAGCAGTGAAAAGCTCTTCATCGTTCGATAAATCATTGTATAAGCAACAGTTATTGTAGGTTATACGCGATAACGTGAAATCGATGATGGTGATATAAACGCCTTTTGTAGGTAAAATCAACTCTTTGTCAGCCAATTTATATGAAATATACTTTTCCTCAGTGTTGAGTACAAGAACATTGCCCCAATGTAAGTCACGATGCTCAAATTGATAAGCTTCTTCAGCAACGGCCAAAGTCAAGATTATCTTAGATGAAAGTGAAAACAATTAATCATTTCAAACAATTTTTCTTTTGCTAATGAAGAACAATCTTCATCTTAGAGCGGATAGAATAAGGAAGTGAAGTAACTGTATGTAAGGAAAATGCTCTACACTCAAAATGAAGGGCGGCAAAGTGCGCAAAAAACCATAACCCTGTTTATTCTTGAAGAGAATGAATTTGTATTATTTTAAATATATTGAAATTTAATGGACTAAGCCTATGAGAAGTGTGGCTTATCTCCAGATTACGATAAATGGTAGTGCAAATTTAAATATAAATAACTCAAATATTGTATTACCTACGTGCTAAGAGTAAATGATATTTATTTTTCTCAACTGATTGAAATAAAGCTATCTAAACTGTAACAAACGGATCAGACCTTTTTTTTCTTACAAGAATATATATATGTATATATATATATAATGTATACATAAACGTGGATAACAAACGGATTACACTTCTTTCTTAACTATTTTAATTATTTATATATAGATTAAATATATACGTGCATATATATAAAAAAAGGATAAAATAATTCCCACCAACCATAACATAACATTTACCTAATAATTGTCACGTCATATAAACACACACGCTTTGTGGGGTTTTTAACAGACATTTCTGGGTATCGGAAACGCTATGGGAAAATTTCTATGGCTCTATTCTTCTATGGTGGGTATAAACATTTCAAGACATACCTGTTGCAAAGCATAATACGTTTGCTCAGCATTCCGAAAAGTAAACGATTCAAGATCCTTCTCCATCCATGTCATGAAGTGAAGACGAAGAACAAAATTATTTATGTGTTTATAGTTTTAGTTGAGATAGGGTTTTTGAGATATAGTTGCCTTCATGTCTGTTAAAGTGCTATTAATTCTGCTAAAGTACAAATATTTATCAAGTGTCAAAGAGCTGTTGTTCATTAATCATAGTTTGAGGTCTTGTTATAGAGCTTCGCCTCTTTTCCAAGTTAAAGTTAACTACCTATCAGAAATTGAGATGTCCGGAATGTCGGGTCCTAGTAGAAATCGCTGACTTACCGTGCCACTGAAACCCAACTCCAGTATAATGTATTTTTGTGTGTCGCTAAAACACTTAGGATTATCGTTTTCAGAACTTTTGACATCGTCGTAATCTTCCCACAGTTTTACAAAAGTTTCGGGGTATTCGCCTTGCACATACCTAGCCTGACACAGAACAGAAATAAAACCCTGTATAATGTAATGGCAAAAACAATTCTTACCCTATAAAGATTCACAAACCCTTTGGTCATGTTAGGTTTGCGAACACTTCGATTTTTTGCTAGTGCACTTAATTCTTTGGCTATAATCACCTCTGGTAAAATTTGTTCAATTGTCTTTTGTATTTCGCCATTTATTACTTCTTTTCCCTCAATAGGTATTATTTTCATAACAATTGCATCAGCATTGTTTCCTGCACTTGTGTAAAGGAATACTTCGCCGAATGCTCCATCTCCAATTTTCTGACACTTTGCTAAATATTCCTCATTATATGCTTTTTCAAACGATAATACTTTTCGTTGGCGACAAATTTCTAAAACCTGACGTCTATAGTTCTCTTGACTTAGACTTCTCGTACGTCTACTTGGCGCTTTAACTTTGACTGCATTCTCCAAATGCAATGCTATCGATTTGCGTTCGCCGATAAAAGTAAGTCGTTTAGAAGGTTTAATAGAATGGTCGACAAGATCACAATCACCTAAAAATGATTATTCAATGTAGATACTTACATATAGTATAATACATATTATTACCTAAAGTTCGTCGTAAGTAATACAAAGATCTACGCCATTTCCCCGATTGAACAGTCAACCGCGTAGTCGGTGGCAAATGTTCTTGGTTGTTTGTATCAAAACATACTTGTCTTTGCCCTTGTTTGGGTTTCGATGGTTTCTTAATCAATAATAAAAGCGGAACTTCGTTACTTTCCTCAGCGGATTTCTTTGCAGACTGATGATCTTAAAATAATACGTTTATAAAACTTAGAATATCAAATATTTCAGTTGCGTACCTGCTAGAGGGATGATTCGACTATTTTTTGTCGCATTAAATTCAGATTGCGTCCTCTGAACTTTTGGTGTTCTTAGGAACCTAAAATTCCAAGCCATTATGGGGGACAGGTCACAACTGAAAGGTGTACTGGCTAAATGCTTTCGAACTGGCGTAGACATAGATTTGGAAACTGCCTGTGCTTCAAATGGTGGTGGTACTTTAAAACTTTTAATCGATAGTTTCGTAATTGGAGAAGTCCCCAGTTGCGATGTGGGCATTACTATAGACGACTTAGAGTTATCACAGCTGCTGTTGCCGCAACTCGAATTCATATTGTAGGAAGCGTGAACATTCTTTTTTATTATATTAAGCTCGCGCAATACTCTACAACAAAGGTTAGAATGGTAGTAAAGTAATTATTTGCATTCTAAATGTTTACCCACTTTCTTTCATCTAGCAATTTATCGAAGGTATCCTTCCAAGCATCGTCGGGCAACGTGTCGGCTACACTCTTATCTGAATTGTCCATTATAAAAAATATATTAGCAACGTTGAAAAATTAATCAAAAACCTTAAAATTTAAATTTATTTCACTTTTCACGACCATGCAAAATAAACATCGATATTATTAATGTATCATGTTATTAGTGAATGATTTTATTAAGAAGGAGAATGAAATCAGACAACCCAACAAAACATTTTCAAATCAACACAGATGATTTACTTAGTTGAGTAAAAAAAAAATTTCTTCCGTGTAACATGTAAACTATGTCATCTTCTTCTTCAGAAAGTTCGCTGAGATGTGTGAAAAAGATCCAGTGTGTATAAAAAGTGATTGCAACTTGCAAGAATTATGATCAAAATATATTCTACAAAAAGCTAACTTGCATGAATTATGATCAAAATATACTCTACAAAAAGCTAACTTTCATGAATAATTATCAAAATACATTCTACAAACAGCTAACTTGCAAGAATTATGATCAAAATACATTCTACAAACTTGCATGAATTATGAACAAAAAATATAAAATAATTTATAACTTTTATTTACGTGGCAGTCTACGGAATGAATTTATATGCTTCAATAAATCTACCACTAATTGACATAGTGCGTGCCCTAACAACGTCGTTTTCCTGGAAGCATAACAATTATAAACATTCTCTCAATTTGGACCTTTGCATCGGTCTCCAATGTACTGTAAAACACGGATGTGATTTAAGATAGCACGTTAAAAAGAATTTCTAGATATTCTAAGTCGTAAAGTTGTTCAGCTTAGCTTTGTATTTGAAATAAATAAGAATTTGAGGATAAATTAATTTCTAAGCAAACACGTGTGGATGAAACGAACAAAGGATACACAAATACGTTTATAATCATTGCATGACAGTTGTGAGATTTGTGAGTGTGAGGATTGTGTGCGCAGTACGATAACAAAGGATCGTTGCAAAATAATCTGTCAACATATTTTGAAGAGGTTTCGTGTAAAATAACAAAAGGGAAATGGATAGAGCAAGCAAATAAAATATATGAAGTTTTAAAAATCACTTACCGGTCAATGTTTAAGTCAAAATTAAATAATGACTTTGATGCACTAAACTATTTATTATTTATTTAAATATTAAACAATTGTGTGCTTATTTAAATATTAAACAAATTATTTATATTTGAAATGTTATAATTTAATATTTGTTTTGTAATGAAATATTTCACAATTTTTTTGTAATAGTACTATAACAAAAATTTTTTAAGGTCTCAATATTAAATATTACAATTTTGGTGAATTGAAAATGATTAACTTTTCAGGAAAATGAATTTTTTTGTCATTTCTTTTTATATATTCGATATTTTTGCAAAATTTTTCGATTCCCATCCACTTCACTTTAAATGTGCAATTTCACACAAAGCCGTTGGCTGGTTTTCTTTTCCAAAATTCTTCACATGATTTATAAAAAAAAGTACCATTTACGGAGAATGGAGAGAACAAAGAGTTGCTTTCAATATATAAATATATTATCACGAGGTATCGCTTATACATTTTCCAATATCTATTTCTATGTGTAATATACTTTGGAATTGTTTTTTTTGGAGACCTAGAGATTTGGTTTCAAACAAATATTTAAGCGGGTAAAGAATATAATACCAAATTAGTCCGTTGTAAAAATAAAACGTTAAACGTAGCCAAATTTAAAACTTTGTGGCTATAAAAAGGTTTGCTTTCGTGAGAGCCCTACCTGCTCAGTAAGGTTTTATTTGTATATTTATAGTATTTTTATGCTAAATTATTATTGTGAATGAATTTTCATCAAGAAGTATTGAAAATGGTGGAGAGAAGAACTCGCCGCATTTTGCATGAATTTCATTAAATTTTTTGATTGAAACATCGCGAAAAAAATGTTTAAAATAAAAAATTTAATAAAATATGAATCTATAATGCACCTAAATAACTACTTTTTTTTGTTGGCGGTATACAATGTGCGCCGTCATACTTTTATATACTTATATGTACTTCATAGATACCATTACACATGCAGATTTGTGCAGAAAAATGAAAAGCAACAATTTGAATGCACTATTCGGGCAACACATTTTTCGATTGAAATGAAAAAACCGTATAACGTTTTTCTCTAAACTGAAACGCGCATTTCATTCGCATTTCATTCACACTCGACACAACACATCATCTCCGCAAACGGCAGCTGGATAATTTTTGAGTTTACCGGTGTTAGTGAAAAAAAAAAAAAAAAAAGAAAAGAAGATTTCAAATATTTGAAAAAAGGAAAAGAGGTTTAATAAAGTAATAAAATAACCAAAGAAAACAATTTTAAAGGGGAAAAGGAGGGAAGGTAGAGGAATCTCTCGTGAGAGAAAAATTAAGAATCAATACATATATTCAATTATTATTTTTTGTTTTTTCTTTGTGATTTTTTCTTTTTGTGTTCCCCGTGATAACAACCAAAACAACATCAGCCAGTCTCCCTATGGAGACTGGGTCTGATCTTATAACTACTAATAGAGACTGTTTTGTACATTTTTACATGAACGCCACTGGGCACACCAAGAGATCGAAAATGGGTGAGAATAATACTCTTTTATCTGATAACGAAGAAGCTAACGCAAAGGTTTTAATTCCGCCTAGTAAATAGGCTACCGACAAGCCCTCTGATTTGGGTGCCACAGCCGCCCCAAATCTCGAGATTAATTTGTACGATTGCCTTTCCAACTGCAATTTTGTCGTTTTTGTCGAAACGTGTGAGGACGCAGAAGGAAATCGCATCAATATTAACTCCAATCTCTTTTTCTATGATTACTTGAAGGATCTCGATATGTACGGCTTGAAAGAATTAAAAGTTGTCAGCAGGGGTAGAGCCAAACTGCTTTTCAGCTCCGCTACCAATGCCAACAATTTTGTTATGAATAATGAATTTAATAAAAAGAATTTAGGTCGTTCACTGAGAGATTTGGAGTTATTCGAAACATTCCATGCACATATAGTGTCGATGATATAATTGAAAACGCCGTATCCGATATTTCGATTTAGTCCGCTGTCCGTTTCCGAAGAAGAAATCCCAACAACAAAGACGAGTGGATTCCCACAACCAGCATCAAAGTTGGCTTCAAAGGGAGAGCCCTCCCTAAGGCAATAAAATTTAATTATTGTAATTTGCCGGTCGAATACTTTGTAACCACTTTAAAGCAGTGCTTTAAGTGTGGCAGATACGGTCACGTATCTAAATTCTGCAAAGCTAAAGAGAGCAGGTGCCTTAACTGTGGAAAGTCTCCGAAGTGTGTAAATTGTGAGACGATGAAGTGCTTATCCTGTGGCTCAGGTGAGCGCAACGCTCTCAATAAGTGTTGCCTTAATAGGGAAATTGAATCATATATCAACAGGATAATGGCGATTAAAAATCTTTCGTATAAAGAGGTCAAAGAGAATTTTTCCGAAAATTATTTCGAATGTCTCGATGACAACACTTATGACGGCAATTTCCCTCCACTGGGGAACACGTCTGCAATTTCGACCAAGGATGATAATCAAAATGCCAACAAAATCTTAACCAAAAATAAATACAATGCTGTCGTCAAAAGAAAATTGGTTCCCTCCAAAACTCTTATCAAATCACCCACCAAGCCTTCTCCCAATACACCCCCCAAGTCATCTGGAACAAGCCTTCTTGGACCGAAAATTTCAAACAACTATTTGCGGTCTTCAGAACTTGAAAGATTAATTCTCGCGATTCAAGAAAGTGTCCGTCCGATGATCCCTCAAAATCTTATTAAAGAATTTAAAGAAAAAATGTCTGTCTGTGCTATTTCTTGCCCCGTTCGAGCATCCAGTACTGCGAGAAAATCCGCTGGGGTTCTTTCTCAAGTTTCAACATGATATCCTTTTTACAATATAATATTCAAAGTGTCCGACGTAACCTATCTTTTCTAGATTTTTACTTAAACTCAAACAAGATTGATTTTTTTATCTTAAGTGAAGTTTTTCTGAAAGATGAAAATTGTTTCGAAGTTAAAGTTTCGAATTATGCCTCAGCCACCAAATGCCGAAATGATGGCTATGGTGGTATTAGTATATTCGTTAAGAAAGGTGTCAATTTCAGACGTATTCCCTATAACTCTGCCTTTGACATCATCATTATCAAAACCATCAACCTGAAACCGAATCTTTTCATAGCCTCATGCGACTTTCTACCCAGTCTCGATGTGCAAACCTTTCGTGATGAGTTTCAGAGATTATGCAACTTTCTTGACGGTGAGCAAAATGTGATTCTAGCTGGAGATTTCAATGCAAGACACCGCCTGTATGGCGATCAAGTCTCTACCAACAAAGGCAAACTCCTTGTAAGTGCCATCAATTCCAGCAGTTTTAGTGTAACCGGAGCGGTCGCATGGCGAGCAGGGTCTTGGATCTAACTTTCTCGAACTCAACTATTTTATCCTTCAACTGGAACACGTCCAATGTTTCGATTAGCAAAAGTCAGCACTCCCCCATTATATTCCACAGTTGTAACAATTACGTCAAGAAAATAGAAAATTTCATTTCATGCAACTTCCTTATGGACCGTCTGTCTAAAGTTAATCTTCCTTCTGATTTATCATCAATTCAAAGTGCCTTTCAGTCTGTGATCATGTCTGCTAGAACCAACTTTTCTGACATTGAATCCTTCTCACCTAAACCTTAGTGGAATCCTTCCCTGTCAACACTTTTCTGCAAATACCAAGCTGCAAGAAAAAAAATGAGTAAATATGCCAATCCAGCCAACTACATTGAACATATGAAAACACTGAAAGAATGGAGGTCTGCAGTTAGAAAGGCGAAAAGGGCACATAGAGCCATCGCTATTAAAGAGTTATGTGGTAACGGCAACCCACGTTCCTTCTGGAATTATATCAATGGTCATCGACATTCTAATCGAAAATTAAGCGGTTGTGCTGTATGGAATGACCGTGATAATAAAAAATACTTAGATATGCTCAAGAGCTACATTCCAATTGTTAATCCTATTGCAATGCCTTCAATTCCTTTTAGTAGTATCAGTAACACACCCTTTTCATTGCATGAGCTAATGTATGTTTTACATTCCAGAAAGAGAGCTACTGCTGCAGGTTGTGATGGAGTTAAGTATGACAT